ATAATAGGCTAAGGGTTAATGAGGTAAAATATACCTCCAAGTATAAAAGAATAAAATTAAACAAGAACTGTCGGAGGACAGTATTGGCTCGACTATTCAAAAATTTGTCATAAGAGTGTTTATTGAGTATAATAATGCTAGTTACCTATGAATACATAAAATTGACCGAAAAGGTACAAAGGCTTGTTATTAAGATGTTTTATCAAGTAAATCACTGCTTTATTATTAATAATGCATAAAAATGTCCCAAAAACTAACAAACTCTTCAATTGTTATGAAGATAACAGCTTACAAGCAAAACTTTTCCATGAATTTCTAAGTTGAAAAAGGGGAGAAAAATCAGCCTAAATGCAAGATAGAATTATGGATCTTGGTCAGTGACCTACAATTAAATTCTTAATGCATATGTGAAGTTTTAAATAAATATCTTTAATACTTATTGAGATATGTAAAACTTGCATGTAAACATTAACCTAGAGACTAAGTAGAAAAGGGGATATGAATCAGCCTAAATGCGAGTAGAGTTATGGAACTTGGTCAGTGACATACAATTATGACTCTCCAATTATGACCCTAAGTACATGTGTAAAGTTTCAAGTAAATATCTTTGAAGACCTTTAACCAAAATTTCTAAGTTTCAAAGGGGCAAATAATTCTGCAAATATTGCAGACAGAGTTATGCAATTTTGCAAACTGATGTACATTGTTACTATATAAAAGTATTGTAAATTTCAATTGAATATCTCAAGCAATAATCGAGATATTTGACTTTACAAAAAAACTTTAACCAACATTTCTAAGTTATAAAGGGGCATTATTCTGTAAATATTATAGGTAGAGTTATCCAACTTGTCAATCTGATGTACATTGTTACTATAAATAAGTATTGTAAGTTTCAACTGAATATCTCAAGCAATAATCGAGATATTTGAATTTACAAAAAACTTTAACCAAAATTTCTAAGTTAAAAAGGGGCATAATTCTGTAAATATTGTAGACAGAGTTGTCCAACTTGTCAATCTGATGTACATTGTTACTATAAATAAGTATTGTAAGTTTCAATTGAATATCTCAAGCAATAATTGAGATATTTGAATTTACAAAAAACTTTAACCAAAATTTCTAAGTTAAAAAGGGGCATAATTCTGTAAATATTGTAGACAGAGTTGTCCAACTTGTCAATCTGATGTACATTGTTACTATAAATAAGTATTGTAAGTTTCAATTGAATATCTCAAGCAATAATTGAGATATTTGAATTTACAAAAAACTTTAACCAAAATTTCTAAGTTAAAAAAGGGGCATAATTCTGTCAATATTGTAGGCAGAGTTATCCAACTTGTCAATCTGATGTACATTGTTACTATAAATAAGTATTGTAAGTTTCAATTGAATATCTCAAGCAATAATTGAGATATTTGAATTTACAAAAAACTTTAACCAACGCAGACGCCGACGCGGACGCTGACGCCGACGCCGACGCCGGGGCGACTACAATAGCTCTCATATTCTTCGAATAGTCGAGCTAAAAAGGCTTTATAAAGCATGTTACTTCATTTTTTATGTGTATGAATTGTGCTTGCTTTTATATACAACTGTCATAATTTGAATGTATATATCAAATAAAAGTCTGCAGGTTCAATGGCTAAGTACATGTAGTCCTGACCAATGTCTCTTTAATACCACACACTTTTCTTTTATGTTAGATTTAATACTAATGTAGTCAGTAATCTAGATACTTTAAGAATGAATCTAATTTAAATACATTTAGTGGATATAAAATAGTACTCTCATTAGATTTAAATTAGGATGACCACAATCATGCTAACCCTTCAGGCTTATAAGGCAGATAATGACTGACCAAAGACACCAGAATATAAAATACTTTCATAATATGCCTGCAAAAAACAAGCACTTTACTCCTAGCAGAACAATTTAGCATTTTGACTCTGAAATTCTTTATATTAACACCGGATGGTTTCATTTAATTCAAGCAAGGCAAGGCAATTGCACAAATTTGAAATGGTTATAGATAAGGGGCACTTGCCAAATCTTAACTGACCTGAAAGGTAATGTTTAAATGATGCATACAAATCACTTAATTTTCTATTCATTGGTCCTAAACCATTTCTGTCCAAATGAACAAGTATAAAAAATGACCATAGACCAAAGTGCTTACATACATTTCATGCATGAAATCATTAACAGAAGTGAATTGAAAACATTTTACCATTCACTACAGCTAGAAAATGAACCTTTTCATTACTTATTTTTTGTGTCATACCTAATGTAAGCTATTTAATCTCACAATATTCATGAACTTTTATCAAACTAGGTAAGGGGGACTAGACCAAAATGTTAATATTTTTTGTACTGGGTGTAGTTGTAATAGTGAAAGAAATCAATGGTTTAAAATGGGCATGCACATTCGGGTTAACTTGCTGATGTTATCTAGGTGATAACACCTTACTGTTCTAATTTCCAGTACAAATATAAAACATTTTAACCCTCAAACACTGATCTTGATCATTAACAAGATATCACACACATACTTAACAAACAGGTTAATAAATAATCTGACATATGACTGTATAAAAATACAATAATAATTAACTTTTGTTGCAAATTTTCCCATTATTATAATATACAGCAAATGCTAATTCTCAAGCTTGACAATTTATAAAGTTTAATTCAATTTTTATTCAAGTGAAAAGAATGACATATTTAAAATCCAAAATTGCTGTGAGAGCAATTTTTAAACACTTATCGGTGTTTTACAAAAATATCTTAATAGAAAGAGATTTGTATTATAGCTTGAGCAGCTGTTGAACTACATTGAATTAATAGCCTAGGATTTTCTTCTTTTGTGGTTATATTTCTTTTAATCTTGTTACCTCATAAATACAAAATATCCTAAAGATCTTTATCTTTTTATTGCTTTTATTGTTAGTTGAAATTATACCGCTTTATATCTTAAACAGGCAATGACCCCTCTTTAATATTTCAGAAAATGAAAAGCAGTTCCTGTGCAATGTGCCCTACCTCTAATCAATTAATCAGTTGTATCATAGTTTGGAGACCTTTCTGTTGAAAATGTGTCAGGGTTAAATCGTATACATATACATGCACAGTGCGTTAACTAGAGTGCGGGTATTAGTTACCCGCACTCCAGAGCATGCCCATTGATTGGCTCATTTTTGCTGGGGTTTACATATTGTGACGGCAGAGAAAGGGAAAGCGACAGAAATGTCATATCCAGATGTTCGTTCATTGGTTCATTTTTGCCGGGGTTTCATATTGTGATACAGGGAACGTGCTTTTATGTTTGACTATGATACAAAAGAGAAAGAGCACCAAAACACTCGGCAATCTGATTTATACTCGGGGGCTACGCCCCCTCGTACAAATCAGATAGCCTCGTGTTTCGGTGCTCTTTCTATTACATAGCTTTTTTGTTTTTTGCCACATAAAACAGGGGGTGTAGTTATAGATAAATAAAATTATATAAATTAAAATGAGTCATCCTGCACAAATTTAGTGCTTACTCTGACAAACATTATCAGTCACACAGGGTCTGTTGTTGATATCAAAATGAGTAATAATTAAAAGAATAAATTTATCATGTTTTATCTTTCTTTTTTTCTTTTATAGTTCTTATTCTGAATTTAAAGGAACTCCATTGTGGTCCATAAGCTTAAAAACAAACATCAGATTGGGCATTAAAACAGAAAGATATACAAAAGAGAATTTAAAAATATACTCAAAAATGACTTGAAAATTGTATTTTTGTGCTATTCTTATAAAAGCCCAGTTTGAGTGAAAAGCGCTGCAATGCTAGTATTCAAATTTGGGTCTTTCCTGACAGTTAAAATTATTATTCTAGACAAAATTAATAGAGTGAGCAAATGATCTGAAATTTTACACACAAGCCATTGGTATAGACATACATCAAATGGAACATAAATATCGAACCTATCATGTCAAAAAACCACAGTATCACAAAAAAATCATCTTTGCAAAGATACAGCTACAAACTCATTGGGAAGAAAATTTTTAGAGGACAGCTACAATAAAATATGTTCTGGAGAACAGCTTTATACTTTTTATGTATTTTATACAAATATATCACCTTATGTATCTCTGTCTTAAATGACACTGTCTCCAGTTCTGACATTTACCATATTTTCTCCTTTTTTTCTATATAAAGATGGCAAAATTCCTCTAAGCTGATTTCAAATTTACTTTAGTTTATCAAGACAAATATAAATAACCCACATACCAGCCTTTGACAAAGCCAAGACCAAAGTAATATTTTTTATGGTATCTTATTAGCATATATAATAATTCATTCAACCTCTTTTTTAGAGCACATCAAGTTATCACAGTGAAACATCTCAGATCTCCTATATAAGTCTTAAATGTAAATAATTATGACTGTATGTATTGAAAGAAGTTTATGAAACAGAAAATAAATTGTTTTACCCTGCCCTTTCTCCCACTCTCACATTTCTTAACAAACACAAATTTTGTCAAATCTGGCCATTTTTTATTGTTAATGCTATCATAAGATAATATTAATTTGATACTTTTTTCTAGTTATTTGGAAACAGCACAGTTGCCCTGATTATTTTTAGTTAAAACCAGGTACTGTAAGTAAAATGCATACAACTATATCTGAAGGACCTATAAATGCATTCATTTCACACTTTAGTCTCTCTTTTTTGAATAATGTAAAATTATTGAAAAATGCTAAATGTAAATCTTGGAAACTTTAAAAACAGTAAATAAATAATAAACATCTTTTTTTATAAAACTTATATAATCAGTCCAGGTACGTAAATTAAATATTTGAGGCGTCTACAATATATTAGAATACACAAATGTACTGCACTCATTCGTGCAGACAGGATGTAAGTTTAATTCCTAATAAAATTTGTGCAATGACAGATTAAAATTTTGCGTCGTCTGTAAATTTCAATTAAGTGACACCTGTAACTTACCTGTAATAATTAAAGGTATAATCGCAAAAAATGCGATTGTTGATATAAAATTCCACTTGTATTCCATCTTGCACTATTAAATCATTCTTAAAACAGTTTCCATTGAACGTACGATCCAACACATCAAAAAATAATTCAGACCGAATTTCCCGGTACAGTCGAAACACCGGTTAATTTGCGGTTTTACGTCTCTCACTAGGCGGCGCTGTCTATAGTCTTTTTCAATAACTGTTCAAAATCACGACGAGCAGTCGATGTTGTCGCATTTGACCTATAAATAGCGTTATTTAAATTGAATCGTAGGCAATTTTATTTGGAGTCATTTTAGGGAGTATGTGCAGTTATTTAATTTTGACTCCTGTGACCTTCTTGTGCATTGTAGTAGAGTGTCTTAGAGAAGTTTGGTCAAAATCCACTTTTGAGAAAAAATGTGAATAAATTTGGAGTTTTTGCAATCATCTGCTCTGCTCAGTTGTATCTACCCAATTAGCCCAACAAATCCTTTTATTATATAGACGATGGTCGCCCTTCACATCTATGGAAATGCAAGTACAAATGTTGCTGCTATGCAGCAATTGAGAAGCTCCGCGCAAAAAAATGCGCTCATTACAGATACCTTAACAAATTATTCCTACGCACAGGTCATGTTATATTCAGATTAACTTAAGTACTATTGTACATTTTCTTCGAATGTTTTGTAAACCATTTTTGCATAATTATACTTACCTATTCTTAGATTGTTATCTTAAATTCTTATGCACTGTCCATAAGATAGGGGCCAGATATTTAATTTTTTAAAAAAATGCTTTCACTGATGCCTACCTGGGAAGGATACATCGGCGTTACCTCATAAAAACGACTTAAATCCCATTTCATCAGCTTATTTCAATTTTTTATATCACCAGAATTTTAGTAAAAGTCACTTATCTACCAAAAATCGAAATTATGCCATATAATCATATAATATGCATTTTGTTCATAAATATAAGAGTCGACAAAAAGCCAAAATCTCGCTCAAAACGATAGTCAGGTTATCATTTTCACGAATGATCTTGAAAAGTAAACAATTTCATGGAAATAATCTTGATGAGGGATAAAGAGTAATGTCTTTGCAGCCGAACGCAGCTATTCATTTTTTCATGCAGGGATATATATATGGCACTCTGAGACATTTATTGTCCTTTTCATTCGCAAAAGAGAGCGTCAATCCTTAACCCTTTATCTCATATATACGCGAAACTCCCCTTCATATGAGAAACGTTGTTATTTAAAACAGGTGTTATTTAAAACAGGTTTTTTTTTTTTTTTTTGGGGGGGGGGAGGGCTCCTGTGGGGGATGCCAGTGCCAGAGGGGGAATGTGCCTCCTGCTTATTAGGGGTTTGAAGAGGGGCAGCAGCCCCCCTCATTGCCAAGAAGATTTTGGACTTGTGAGAGGCTAAAATTGGCCTCAGGTCGATCCGAAGGTAACATGTAACCAACGCTGAAAAGCCTTTGACTCTATCTCAATCCATTGAGAAGTTGTAGCACTTTATAATCAGTTTGGATGTAAAAATCAATGCAAAATAGTGATTTTTTGGCAATTATGAGATATCCCCTCATTGCCATGGTAACAGAAAATTGTGCATTCAACATTATTGCCAAGTTTGATGAATATTGAAGCATCTTTTATAGTTTCATAGCAATTTGAACTTGTAACAGGAGGCTTTTCAATGAAAACACCCATTTTTCACAAAATGCTCACGCAGTTATGTGTTAAGATATGTTAAGTAGAAACTGAAAAATGTGATTTTTTGCCCCAGTCTCCCTTATTTGTTATCAATACACAAAACATTTACATAAATTAATCTCAATTCTAAAGGCATTGACATTATTATATATCAGTACTCAAGGTATTGTCATTATTTGGTATCAATACACTAGGTATTGTCATTATTTGGTATCAATACACTAGGTATTGTCATTATTTGATATCAATACACTAGGTATTGTCATTATTTGATATCAATACACTAGGTATTGTCATTATTAAGTATCAATACACTAGGCATTGTCATTATTTGGTATCAATACACTAGGTATTGTCATTATTTGATATCAATACACCTGAAATTGTCATTATTTAGTCAATACACTAGGGATTGTCATTATTTGGTATCAATACACTAGGTATTGTCATAATTTGGTATCAATACACAAGGCATTGTCATTATTTGAATACACTAGGTATTGTTATTATTTAGTATCAATACACTAGGTATTGTCATTATTTGATATCAATACACTAGGTATTGTCATTATTTGATATCAATACACTAGGTATTGTCATTATTTGGTATCAATACACTAGGTATTGTCATTATTTAGTATCAATACACTAGGTATTGTCATTATTTGATATCAATACACTAGGTATTGTCATTATTTGGTATCAATACACTAGGTATTGTCATTATTTGATATCAATACACTAGGTATTGTCATTATTTGGAATCAATACACTAGGTATTATCATAAATTAAATACACTAGGAATTGTTATTATTTGGTATAATTAACTTATTATTGTCATTATTTAGTATCAATACACTAGGTATTGTCATTATTTAAATATACAAGGTATTGTTTGTTATTATTTAAATACATTAGGTACTGTTATTATTTGGTATCAATACACTAGGTATTGTCATTAAATTGTATCAATAAACTAGACATTGTCATTATTTAAATACACTAGGTATTGTCATTATTTAAATACACTAGGTATTGTCATTATTTGGAATCAATAAACTAGGTATTGTTTTTACTAGGCATCAATACACCAGGTATTGTTTTTACTTGGTATCAATACACTAGGTATTGCTTTACTTGGTATCAATACACTAGGTATTGTTTTTAGTTGGTATCAATACACAAGGCATTGTTATTATTTGATATTAGTACACTAGGTATTCTCATTATTTGTTACAAATATTCAAGGTTTTGTCATTATTTGTTATCAATACTCAAAGCATTGTATTTACTTGCTATCAATACACAATGTTTTGTCATTATTTGTTATCAATACACAAGGTTTTGTCATTATTTGTTATCAATACACAAGGTTTTGTCATTATTTGTTATCAATACACTAGGGATCATCATTATTTGTTATCAATACACAAGGTTTTGTCATTATTTGTTATCAATACACTGGGGATTGTCATTATTTGCTATCAATACACAAGGTTTTGTCATTACTTGTTATCAATTCACAAGGTTTTGTCATTATTTGTTATCAATACACAAGGTTTTGTCATTATTTGTTATCAATACACAAGGTTTTGTTTGTTCCAAGAATAAGAATCTAGAAGAATATATTTGTTGAAATTTTTCACTTGCTGAATTTTTGTTTAGACTATCGTAATGTGAAATATATTGATTTTTATGCATGTAATATCAAAGAAACATAATTATATCAGATGCTTTTCTAACTATGATAAATTTTGTCAACGAAATGTAATATTTACTTTTAAATGTATATGAACTATTCAGAAATGGGTAAATTAATCCATGGAATGATAAATATAGTAAACAACTCTCCGACTGTATCTTTTATTTACAAAGAACTTATCAAATACATATATTACACACAAATACAGCACTTGGTTATACATGTAAGTAAAATAGGAAATATGATTATAAAACAAAGTCTACAAAAATGCTGAAATGTTTATACATGCATAAGAACAATCATCATCTGACTGAAAGTATGGTGTACTTCTCCAAGTGAACCCCACTTGTTCTGGAGGAACACAGTCCAGGTCAATTCATATAATTTAAGATATTTTTCTAAATCCAATGAATTAAGAACATATTGTGCTTACACTTTATCAATGAATAAATAAATAAATTTTCTTCACTTGTTTAGAAGAAGTGAACAACAAAATATTTCCTTTATTGTCACATAATAACTTATTGTGTCTCTTACTAAAATACTTGTGTCGTAATTGATAACTATAGTAGTGTCATCTTACTGATATAATACAACAAGAATTAAAGTCGCTTTTTTACAGAACAAGAGCTGTCTGAGGAGCAGCACGTTTGAATAATCAAATAGTGGACACTGTTATGGAAGACAAAACTATAAAGAAGAAATCAATTATAATATATAATGAAAATCGATATCTGTATCAAAATCAAGAAAGCAACTTTTCTTTTGCTCCACATAACATGCAAATACCACAAAAATTTAACCAGAAATCACGGATGCCTCGGTGAGAAGGAAAGCACTCCATAGACTTTGTATAAGCAAGGTAAAAATAAAATTGTGTCATATTTTTAGTAAATGGTTTTGTATTATCAATATTTACATCGGATGATGCCACGACAATGATCTGAATGCAAAAAGAAACAAAAATATAAACTACATGTATTGTATATGATAAAAACGATTGTAGCAAATCACAACACAAAATTGGTCCTTTAAAAATCCTTTAAAACCATATTTAAAGATATGAGCACAATCTATGGAATAAAGAAATAAAAACATAAAATAAAACATTGTATATAACAGACAGATGTACAAGATACAACAAGAAAGAATAAAGAAAAACTAATTGTATAATCACAAACTTTGTCACAAAAGATAAACCATAGTTTAAAAGCATTACTTTATGTAAACTAAACATACAACTGTTTCTTATAAAATGTTTATAATTCGATTCATAAAATACATATTAAAAAAAAATTGAGAAGAAAAAAATTGATAAAACCTACATTTTAGTGTAAAATCTTTGACCAAATGGTATCTAAAACCGTAACAAGTATAAAAGTGAAAACATATTTAGATACAGGTATGGAAATAGATAGATGCTATAAAATTATCTAATCAGGGTGCGAGTTATCTGATGTCCTTAAACATTTACAAAATGTATTTACATTATACAAGTACACTGTTATATAATAATCCATAAAAACAATTTTCTATTATATACATTTGTACATATAGATTTTAATTGCACTGGTCATATGTTTGGATTTGTAGTCACTGTTCTATAGTTTTGTAGTAATTGTTATAAAATAACAACAATAAATCTTTCCTAGTACAACCTATATTATATAGGGTTTAAATCAGTTTAATATTAAATAATACTTTTGAAAACAATTGTTGAAATGACATTATGCCTATCCAAGGGTATTTGGTGACTGAAATGGTGAG